CATACATGTTATCTTGGTATAAATGCATGGATTATGTGCACATGAGTGGTAATATGATATTATACATACATGTGGAAATATTAAATGAGTATAGGCGGATTATGTGGTAAAATGTTATATGAACATATTATTATATACATAAAAACTCAAACCTTCATGGTAAAGAAAGGATTGGTTTTAAAATATTATCTTCCACTGCCCAAGTTATTAAAATAATCCCCATCGCCTTTGAAAGAGTATTTAAAGAAAAGAAAAGAGGATAAGATCATTTTCTTATCACTTTTAGAAAAGAAACCGGTTTATGAGAGAAAGTGTTTTTAGGCGGTGAAGAGCATCCTTGAAGAATATTGCTGTTTTAAAAAGTACTTTAAGATTCTGTGATTTGTTGCGTGTTAACCTGCAGAATCTGTGATTGTTAAGGTGAGTTTTTGATAAAATAAAATCTTTGTATTTGTAGTTATATGTATATAAGCTGTTGGGTTCGGGAATTTGTGATCTTGAAAGAATTTGGTAAAAGTTGTTTTCTAACAGTTTAAAACGAAGTATTGATGATTAAGAGTTTTGAAACTGTTTTGAATAAGATAAAACAATAGGTGTGCTTTAAAACATATTTGGAAAGTTGATACTCTGTTTTAAAAAGGATTTAAAAGAGATTGGATATATGAAACTTATGATGGAACAGATTGTTCTTAAATTTGAAGGTTTTGATGGTAAAACTGTTTTGGAAATTGTTATTTGTTAAAAACTATGGAGGATGTTTCATCAAGACGGTTGTGACTTTGGTCTGTCTTCGTTTGGAACTAATCCATAGATTTTAGTGAGGAAATAAGGGTGGCATATCAAGGAGAGATGTACTTTGGGATAAGGGTGACATATCAAGGAGAGGTGTACCTTTGGTTATAAGGGTGACATATCAAGGAGAGGTGTACCTTTGGATATAAGGGTGGCAATTGAGTGTGATTATTATAGCTCTTGCTATTATGTCTTTTAATATTACAATAAATTTAAGTACTTACTTCTTGGTGATTTGAGGACTCATAGATGTTGTTCTTATTGGAAATGATAGTATTGATGTTATTGAGAAGGGGAAAACTTGGCCTATAGTCATTGATTTTGGATATAAACTATTTTGGATCAAGTGTTTGAATACAGAAGAATCAGAGAGGCTCTGGTTGATCCTTGATAGGAACCAGAAGGGATCTGGTTGGTACTCATTATAGAACCAGAGGGTTCTGGATATTACTTAAAGAATTATGCAAAAGTCTTTACTAAATGTATTAGGTGGACCAGAGGCTCTGTATCTATAGATAAGAGCTTATGTGTCAAAATCATATTCTTAGAAGTTTTGAAGGGATTTATACTTAGAAAGTTTTCTTAAAATTTAAATGGACCAGAGGCTCTGGTTGACCTATACGGGTTGAACCAGAAGCTCTGGTTGGTCTTACATTTTGGACCAGAAGCTCTGGTTGGCCTTCGCGGGTTAGACCAAAAGCTTTGGTTGGTCTTTACTAAATGTATTAATTGGACCAGAGGCTCTGTATCTATAGATAAGAGCTTCTGTGTCAAAATCATATTATTAGAAGTTTTGAAGGGATTTATACTTAGAAAGTTTTCTTACAATTTAGATGGACCAGAGGCTCTGGTTGACGTATACGGGTTGAACCAGAAGCTCTGATTGGTCTTACATTTTGGACTAGAAGCTCTGGTTGGCCTTCGCGGGTTGAACCAGAGGCTCTGGTTGAAGTCTTGCAGGTTTTGGAGCCATAAGCTCTGGCTAGTAGAACCAGAGCTCTGGTCATGCAAAATCTTCTCAAAATATGTTCTTACTTATGAAAAAGCTATTTTAATATCCCTAAGTTTGATCTATGAATTATATGAAATTACCTATTTTAGTAAGAGGCTCTGGTTAGCTTGACCAGAAGCTCTGGTCGAGGAACCAGAGGAGCTATGGTCAAAGAACCAGAAGAGCTCTGGTCCTCTTTTTTTTTTTGTAAGGGTGTTCGGGCCAAAGCCCGACTAATCCCCGGCAATTTTGGAGGCTAAACATGGCCCCACTTAAATGTCGCCAACACTCCCCTCCCAGGGCTCGAACTCGGGTTCATGACTATGCCATGCCCAAGATTTGTTGAGATATTTTCTAAATCTGTCTATGGAATCAAAGGTCAGATGGACACGAACAGAAAGTGGTTTTACATGTTGAAATGCGAAATGATTTTATTTGAATAACTGTTTTGGTGCATTATCACCCTGCAACTACATGGAAAAAGGGAACCTCACTAGACCTCTAGGTCTAACCCTCAATTTTTTGTTTTCAAATATGTGTTGCAAGATTTGCAAAATATAATGGTAGTAAAGGAAAAGGGAAAATGTGAATTATTTTCCTATTTGCTTAGCTTTATGAAGATCCTTTTGATGTGTTCTGAAGAATAGATGTTATGAATACAAGAGTAATGTATTTTAGAATTTTTGAGTTGTGTATTTTGTATTATAGACTCTTGTATTATGGACCTTTGTGGGATTGAACATGTAATCAATGAATCAAATATATGTTATATGCAATGTGAGTTTTGGGGGTGTTACATAACTAACTGCAGATAAACATAATCAAATACAAGATAAACATCTCAATTTAATTATAAAAAATCTAAAATATAATTAGGATAATCATTGAGTTCTAACAGAATACTTAATTATTATCTTTATAAAATGTTATATTATTAAACCAAAAAT